CTGTAAAAAAGAGATTCTGTATTGATGTGTTTCCAGGATTTGTTTCAAGATTTACAGCTCCTTTTAGCAGTTCTTGTAGTGGTGGCTTTGTAGTGGTGAATTCTCTCAACATTTGTTTGCCTGAAAAATACTGTATCTTTATTTATGAAGCTTGGTTTCACTGGATACGAAATTCATGGCTGATCATTGTTTCATTTAAGGAGGTTGAAGATAGGACCCCAATCCTTTCTAGCTTGTAGAATTTCTGCTAAGAAATCTCCTGTTACTCTGATAGGCTTCCCTTTATAGGTTACCTGGTGCTTTTGCCTCACAGCTCTTAAGATTCCTTCCTTAAGTTTACATAACCTGACGACAATGTGCCTGGGTAATGATCTTTCTGTGGAGAATTTTTCAGGTGTTCTTTGAGCTTCTTGTATTTGGATATCTAGGTCTCTAGCAAGGTCAGGGAAGATTTCCTCGATTTTTCCCCCAAATATGTTTTCTAAACTCAGATTTCTCTTCTTCCTTTGGAATGCAAATTATTTTTAGGTTTGGTCATTTAACATAATCCAAGACTTCTTGGAGGCTTTGTTCATATTTTCTTATTTTTTTTTTTGTCTTTATTGGATTAATTTGAAAATCTTGTCTTCAAGCTCTGAAGTTCTTTCTTCTGATTGTTTGATTCTATTGCTGAGACTTTCCAGAGCATTTTGCATTTCTATAAGTATGTTGTTTCCTGAAGTTTTGATTGCTTTTCATGTATGATACTTATTTCATTGAAAATTTCCCCCCTCATTTCTTGTATCATTTTTTTGACTTCCTTAAATCGAGCATCGCCTTTCTCTGGCGCCTCCCTGATTAGCTTAATAACTAACCTGAATTCTTTTTTTTAGGTAAATCAGGGATTTCTTCTTGGTTTGGATCCGTTGCTGATGAGCTAGTGTGATTTCATGTGGGGCTGCGGGGTACAGGCGGAGGGTGTTAAAGAACCTCGTTTTGTCGTATTACCAGAGTTGGTTTTCTGATTCTTTCTCATTTGGGTAGGCTCTGTCAGAGGGAAGATCTAGGGCTCCAGGCTGTTGTTCAGATTCTTTTGTCCCACAGGGTGTTCCCTTGATATAATATTCTCCTTCTCTTCCTAGGTATGTGGCTTCCTGAGAGCCATGCTGTAGTAATTATCTCTCTTCTGGATCTAGCCACCCAGTAAGTCTACCAGGCTCTGGGCTAGTACTAGGGATGTCTGCACAGAGTCCTGTGATGTGAACTATCTGTGGGTCTCTCAGCCAGGGATATCAGCACTTGCTCTAGCGGAAGTGACAGGGGAGTGAAATGGATTCTGTGAGAGTTCTTAGCTTTGGTTGTTTAATGCACTATTTATTTTTTATTTTTATTTTTTTTTTTTGAGATGGAGTTTTGCTCTTGTTACCCAGGCTGGAGTGCAATGGCGTGATCTCGGCTCACCGCAACCTCCGCCTCCTGGGTTCAGGCAATTCTCCTGCCTCAGCCTCCTGAGTAGCTGGGATTACAGGCATGCACCACCATGCCCAGCTAATTTTTTGTATTTTTAGTAGAGACGGCGTTTCACCATGTTGACCAAGATGGTCTCAATCTATTGACCTTGTGATCCACCCGTCTCGGCCTCCCAAAGTGCTGGGATTATAGGCTTGAGCCACCGCGCCCGGCCTTAATGCACTATTTTTGTGCTGGTTGGCCTCCTGCCAGGAGGTGGCGCTTTCAGGAGAGGATTAGGAGCAGTAGTAGGGGGAGGAACAGGCAGTGGGCAGGGCCTTAGAAATCCCACGAGAAAAGCCCCCCCTTTTTTTTTTTGCTACCAGGGTGGGTAGGGAAGGACCGTCAGGTGGAGCAGTCAGGCATGTCTGAGCTCAGACTCTCCTAGGGCAGGTCTTGCTGCAACTGCTCTTGGGGATGGGGGTGAGGCTCCCAGGTCAATGGAGCTGTGTTCCTAGGAGGATTATGACTGCCTCTACTGTGTCATGCAGGTTGTCAAGGAAGTGACAGAAAGCCAGCAGTCACAGGTGTCACCCAGCTCCCACATAACCCAAAGGGCTGGCCTCACTCCCACCATGCCCCACCCAACAGCACCAAGTCTGTTTCCAGGCAGTGGGTGAGCAGGACTGAGAACTTCCCCCAGCCTCCCTGCCTCCCAGCTGTGAAAGTAAATCGGGCTTTTGTGCTTTCCCAACCTCTGGAGTCTGCACACTGGATTCATTTCCTCCCCCGAAGTTCTAGCCAGAAGACTTCTCAATTGGTTGCAATTGTTACGAACTTCAGCTGCAGGTTTTCCCAGTGGCCTTTTCCCAGTGCCTCTGGCAGCCTTCCTCAAGGACCCCTGTGAGGCAAGGCAGAAATGGCTTGCTAGGGAACCCAGCGAGCCCACAGGGTTTTTCCCCCTGCTTTTTCTACCCCTGTATTTTGCTTGGCTCTCTGGATTGACTCAGCTCCATGTAAAGTCAGAATCTTCTCCCATGATCTAGACCTTCAAGTTCCCCAGTGAGGGTGTGTGTTCAGGGATGGACGATCCTTCTTTCCCACTTCCACAATTTGGGCACTCACAGTATTTGGGGTGTCTCCTGGGTCCTGCAGGAGCAATCTGTTTCCTTCACAGGGTCTGTGGGTTTTCTTGACTTTCCTGATTTATTCTTGCAGTTGTTCTGGAGCAAAAGTTCCATGATGTGAATCTCCACACACTGCCCTGTCTGTCCAAGTGGGAACTGCAATCTAGTCCTGCCTCCTGTTCGCCATTATCGCCCCCAAACCACTTCTATTATTGGTGAGGAAACTGAGGCTCAGAGAGGCCAGGGAACTTATTCAAAGTCACAGAGCCAATCAGCAGAGACCCAAGTCTATTCTCTAGACTTCTTGACACAAAATTCAAGGTCTATATGACAGATGTCAACATAACATCAGTTTGCTAGAGAAACAGAAATAAGTTCAGTTCCTCTAGCAGAAACCAAGGATTTAAATACATGAACCACAGAGAATATAGTTGTATTATTTTTAACCATTTTCATTTTTTTCTTTCTAGGAAAGTAGTACACATTCATTACAGGAAATTGGAATTAATGAAACATAAACAAGACAAAAAACTGTAAAGAGATAAGTGCTATAAACAGTGTGTGTGCATGTATATATAGATATATGGGCACAGAGAGAGTATTTAGGTAGAATTTATATATTTTATATACATATATACACACATATGTAGAATATATTTAAAATAATTTTAACATATGAACTATAGAATACATGGAATTTATATTTTATTTTTTTCTTAATATTATTGTATACATTTATGGGGTACAAAGGTAATTTTGTTCCATGTATAGATTGCATACTGGTGAAGTCAGAGTTTTTAGTGTATCCATTGCTAGAACAATGCAGTTTGTACCCATTAAGTAATTTATCATCATCCACCCATCTTCTGTCCCCCAACCTTCCTAGTCTCCAATGTCTTATCAGTAAACACTCTCCTCCATGTGTACATGTTATTTAGCTCCCACTTATAAGTGAAAACATGTGGCATTTATCTTCATATGTCTGAGTTGTTTTAACATTTATTTAGTGATCAAAATACCCATTTAATTATGAGTATTTCATAAGAATCCATTTTTAAATTTTTCTTACTGTTTCACATTTGTTTCCAACATTTTGCTCTGGTGAATAAAGTAGGAGGGTAAGATTTGAGGTTTCCGTGACATATAGGAAAGGCACATTATTAAGCAGGCCAGGGTAGAATACCTAAGAAGGATCTCTGGGCAGCCAAGGAACTAAAGCGCTGGATCCCATTGAGATTATAAAATGGAAAGGGGAGATATTCTTGGGGGTGTGGAAGTCCCCAAGAAAAACGCCGTTCACAAATTTTCCCAGGCATGGTTCAGTGTATAAACACGGCAATTCCAGAAAGAACACAGAGGTTCATCCAAGGCCCACATATCTACTCTTTCCCTGTGTCTCATGACTCTCAGAGAGAAACTGCTTTTGTAGAAGACTTCAGTCAAGTCTAATAAATCTCTACAAAGCTTCATACATCTTAGGAAAACTCAATAAAGACAGATTCCCCAGAAGAATTTTTGAAAGATAATATATCTTGTTTCTAAATATTATTAATCAGTGCCTGCTGTTTCATCTGAACAAAGCCTTTTTTTTTTATATAGTTAAAGGCAAAAGAATTCTCTCAGCTAATGATGGATGACCTATTTACATCATATGAAAATGAAAGTATATTGTCTCTAATCTAAAAGGCTATGTTTAGGCTGTTCAGCTAAAATGTTCTCTAGTTATAAAATATTAATACAGTAATTTTCCTATGTTTTGCCCTTTCAAAAATTTTCAATTGTAAGAGTAGTTTTCTGAGTGGACATTATATTTGTATTTTACTAGTTCAATCATTTCCCCAAGTAAATAGCAACCTTTTCCCAGTAGGCCCTTGTTCAACATTATAATTTTTATTTTTTCTTCTATCTAGATTTTAGAAAGGATTTCAACAATTGTCTTAAGTAATAAAGCTTCTTTTTAAATTATCATTCAGATCTTAAAATGGCCACTTTAATTATATTTGCTTTTTAAACCCTTTCCTTATTTACAACATTTCTGAAAGATGCCTCATTTTAGATTTTGGATTTAAAATATTTGTTCAACAAGAGAATTCACAAAGATTCAATGATTTCAGAGCTCCAGTGAAATAAGACAATGCTTCTTTTCTGATAATTCAGGCATTCCAATGTCAAACTTGGGTTGAAGTGGAGGAACTGAATTTCCTGAGCAGTTGGTAAAGACAGTGTTCATATACCTCTGATTGCAGAAGAAGGTTCCATTTTGCAAGTTTACCAGTGAAGATGCCATTGCCCTCTAAAAGAATTTCAAGGACATTCCTTTCTAATATTTTCACTGGTTTAATTCTAGAAACAAACCTTCTGAGACCGTATTTCTGAAACTGTGTGCTGTAGGTCACTATATAGCTGAGATGATAATAATAGTTTCCCAATTTAAAATAAAACAAGGTGCTCACTTCGGCAACACGTATACTAAAATTGAAATGATACGGAGAAGATTAGCATGGCCCCTGTGCAAGGATGACACACAGATTTGTGAAGCGTTCCATATTTAAAATAAATAAATAAATAAAACAAAGTTACCAGTTCAAATAACTTTTGGAAACAGCTAAACAAATCCAAGAAGTTTGACATGCTAAAGTACATACTGAAAAGAGAGCAAAGGGAAAAGTGTTTTCCAAACTTACTTGATCATGAACTCTTCTGTCAAGGAAAAATTATTACATCCCAATGAAGAATTTGAAGGCACTGAAGCAGCTTCAAAGTCTTCAAAGGTAAATTACCCCTTCTTCTCTGTCCCACTCCCTTAGTAGCTCTTTGGCTCTGTATCCATCATGAATTCACATCAGCAGGGGCTCACCCACGTGCTGGACAGCCTTTTCTAGAGTGAAAGAGTGTTACTGTTCTGTTTTCTAATTTCCACCAAGGCCAGGTAGCTGCTCCTACAGGTTAATAACACTCTTCTTTGTTCCATGGCACTATTTTATCTCTGTATAGTCCCCCCAGCTGTTTTTCTCACATACACACATATTTTGAGTTGAAATCAGTGGAATTTTTTTTGTATAATTTGATTCCCTCTTCCATATTTTAAAATAGTAATGGTTACTTCCAACAAGACCTACAGCATACACTTTGTTTCCCATCAGGAGAAAGAGGAAAGTTAAATGAATAGTGAGCTTCCTGCTGTGGCAGAGGTGGGTGAAAGAAGAAACCTACTCCACAGCCAGACATCTACTTCCACCCTCCTCTACCTCATAGTCCTAAACCTTTCATCTCTGTTCCCTGAACCCAGAGTACAGGTCTGTTGATCACTGAAGCCTTACCCACCTGGAGGAAGACTGGAAATATGATCTGGAACCTCAACAGTAAATGACCTGCTTTCCCTGCATCAAGGGCACCTGGAATCCAAATTAAAATGCAGAGGAAAGTAAAGCTCTTATGTAAACTCTGCTTTTCACATTTTTCCCCACTGATTCTCCTTTGACCTGTGCTGGCCAGTAATATGGCCCAAGAGAGCACCAGTTTCCTGCAAGGTCACTAACCACCAGGCCCAACTCCAATTCCAGAGGGTTCTAGGGTGGCCAGCCACTGAGAAGTTTCCCTAGACTTTTAGTGCTAAAACGGGGAAAGCCCTTTACGAAGTGGGATTGGTCTGCCTGTTCTCAGCCAAATAGTCTTTGGCAGTAATCTTTCCCAGTAAAAGCACAGAGTCGGAGTAGCAGAACCTCCTTTCCTATGATTCCTGCTTCACCAGCTGGAGCCTGGCTAAGACTCAGTGACTGGTGAGGAGTCTGGCTCCTCTCCTTTCTGCCTCCTCCCCTTCAGTACCTCGAAGCTCCCCACCTAAAGCTTCCTTTTTCCATCTCTGTGCCCCTCTAAGTCTTGGTCACAACTGTCCCACTTTGGTTTACTATTTCGGTCATCGTGCCTCATTAGTATCTCGTTATAATGAGGAGAGCCACCTAAAGACCTTATCTCCTTGCAGTAGGGATATAAGGCAGCACAGTCAGATGCTCCCTAAGGTGGGCTGATATATGTATCTTCTCACAGTAACCCCTGTGTGACCAATGGGGCCAAAAGTCCTCCTGGTTTGAAAGAGCTCCTTCCAGACCCACCTTGCTGTCTCACAGCTTCCTGAACCCACCCTTCCACATGGACACAGAGAAATACTTTGCTATGTTCTACCAACAGATGCTTACTGAGTAGAGAAAACACAGTGCACATCTATATCAACTTCTCTCTATCCATTTCTTTCTCTCTTGCTGTAGCAAGTCTCTCAGAAGACGGCAGTAACAGAGACTTGTGGCCAGAGCAAGCTTTTGATAGGACAAGTCGCAGCTCTTCAGTAAACAAGAAAAAGAATCTTAAAGAATAATGAAAGTTGCTGGAGGGAAAATGGTTTAGACAGGCTCAGATTCCCAAGACTGCTTCGCCTGTTTGGAGGTGAAAACATCAAAGGGACAAGAAAGATGACTTTACATGAAAAGAACTGATATTCTGAACTTCTTCTTTCATGACAACTTGTGGCATGCTCTTTCAGCCATGCATAATACTTTGACAAGCTCGATAACGTTCAAGTGGTTTATGATTAAATTGCTGTACTTGAAATAGTAAGATTTTATCTATGTTCTGAGCTTAATAACTCTTTGGTTAGTTAAAATATTTTCATTCCTGAAACTTTAAAAACCTGAATTATTATAAAAGATACAAGAGGCAAAAAAAAAAAGATTAAGTTTGCACTTTGGAGAAATTGTTTCACATCTCTGATGGTTAATATTATCAACTTCATTGGAATGAAAGACACAGAGTATTGTTCCTGGGTATGTCTGTGAGGGTGTTGCCGAAGGAGATTAACATTTGAGTCAGTGGACTAGGAGAGGCAGACTCACCCTCAATCTATGGGGGGGTACCATCCAATCAGCTGCCAGCACGGCTAGAATAAAAGCAGGCAGAAGAACGTGGAAGGATTGAACTGGTTTAGTCTTCTGGCCTCCATCTTTCTCCTGTGCTGAATGCTTTGTGCCCTTGAACATTGGACTCTGGGTTCTTCAGCTTTTGGACCTACACCAGTGATTTGCCAGGGGCTCTTGGGCCTTCGGTAGCAGACTGAAGGCTACATTGTCAACTTCCCTACTTTTGAGGTTTTGGGACATGGACTGGCCTCCTTGGTCCTCAGCTTGTAGACAGCCTATTGTAGGACTTCACCTAGTGATCATGTGAGTCAATACTCCTTAATAAACTCTCCTTTATCTATACATCTATCCTATTAATCCTGTCCCTCTATAAAACCCTAATACCCTTCAGCACCGCAGGTCCATGAGGAATTAGAAATAATCTGAAATAATTTTGCTTTTTGTAAAGAGAAAGTTAAGTTTATCCCAGACTAGATTGATCATATTTTATCAATATATATTTTTAAACTATGAATATATATATATATATGTACACACACACACAAACAGAAATTTGGTATTGAGATCTAAACATGCTTCCGTGATAAAGTAAATTTTTATACTCTTTAATGTTCGAATCCCTTTCATGAAGATATTAAAAACATTAAAAACTATTCTACATCAAGTGATTCAGTGTCTTTCTCACAAATAAAATACTACTAAGTCAGTGGTCTGTTTTACAACTTTGATTTGCTTATCCAAAGCTTTTTAAAATAATCATGTCATTTACTTATGTTTATACCTAAGATCTAAAGAGTATGAGCCATATATGGGGTAATAATACTCTTTTTAAAAAAATTATCAGGATATTTCTTTTGCAAGTAACAATCATATTCCAGCTGATTTATACCACAAGGTATTATATAATGTTTTATAAAACTTGAAAGGCTAAAGAAAGTTTTCAAGAAATGTTTGACTTAGTAGCTCAGTGAAGTCATTCAGCATCCTGTATTTTTCATCTTTTGCTGTGTCTCTCACGTTTTTGTGTCATCCTAAAACTGACATCATCCTAAAGCTGACAAAAGTTTGGTTCTGCCCAAAATTGGATCATGTAGACGGTATCTTTCCACTGTGTTGTGTGAGCTTCGGCAAAGAGTGGCAAGGGTAATGTGAAACTATCTTTCCTGCCTTCTTCCATGCAGCTTCTCATTTCTGTGCTACACTCACAGTGCTATAATCTCTCACCTGGATCCCTTAGCTCTTGCAGAGGTATTTTTATGCATGGATAGTTGTTCAAAATGATGTTTTTGCAAGAGGGGAGAGCTGGGAAGTCTCTTTATTTTGTCATCTTGCTGACAGCACTTACTGGCATTTTCCTTTGAAAAGCAGTTATCTTCATCTTAGGCATATCATATTCTCCAGAGGATTAGTGGCCTAGAGAGGGGCAATAGTTTCCCCTCTGGTCCATCCCTCCCACCAAGTGTGGTAGCAGCTGTGGGTCCTTCCTACTGTGGGTGGGCCACCTGGAGAAATGTTGAAGAACAGAATCTTAGTGGATAATTGACTTCCTACAGCTTTCATTGTTTGGTCAGTGCCATTACTGTATCTATTAAGTGTTATAATGTAAATATCTGTTGGTCTCTTTCTCTCAATTTGGATAAAATGAAAATTGTGTTATTGAATAGTTTCATTACTTAAATATATAGTTTTGTTATTTGTTACTTAAACTAGGCTAAGAAATAATTATTCAATGGAATTCCCAGGGACTTTGTTGTGATATTTTAAAATACATATGTACATATACACCAGACATATATCCATAAATCCATTTTTCTGACTTTCTTGAAAGTGAAGTTTTTCCTCATGAGTATCTATAGTATCTTTCTTCAATTTCAACTTTGTGTATATCCTTAAACATTATTATCGAGACCCTAGAGCTTTTCTTAAAAGAGTTGACAACACTATGAAAAACTTCAACCTAAACCCCATAAACTATTACAGATTCTGCACAACCAATTGGAATTAGTTAAGTTTTTCTCTGTGTTATGAGCATAAAAGATTCATTGATTCAGTGTTACACACCCGATATGAGATTACAAATTTGCATTACATCTCAAACTTTACATTTGTGAACTGAAGTTGTGAATATTAAAAAGTAATTGGGAAACATGGTTTACAGATCTCAGCGAAGGTGCTGGAGACATTTGGGTAGATAGTGTGCTTTCCCATGCCAGTCACATGTTCACCCAGATCCCCCCACCTCTCTTACAGTTCCCAGCCCAGATCACCATCATATTCAGTCATGGCCACACTTTCCTCCACCTTCTGCATTTTTGAGCCCCACCAGTTCTCCTGACTCTGCTCCTTTGCTTTGGCTTAAGCCAGAATTACTTCTGGGCCCTCTCTGGGACTTAGTAATAGCAGATGAAGAGCGCACATGAACATAGGCATTGTTGCATTTGACAAAAATTGAGATGGAAGGCAAGGTCTCCCTGATAACACAGAGGGAAAACAGTGTTTAATTAAAGTCTAAATGTTGGGAGGCTAGGGGAAATGAGATTGTCTGGTTTGCCCATTTCATGGTCTAAATTTCACTGTTTCTAATCAAGGGGACTTTTGGGTGGACTTATTATGAAATCATTCCTTGAAGTATAACTTATTGG